TTCATTGCCCACAACCCCAAGCTGTTTTGTAGGGCTTTCCTCAAACCTGACATCAAGACAGATGCCATTACAAGTAACATTGCTGAGACTTTTAATGGCTATATCATACAAGCCAGGACAAAGCATTTGCTGTATTGCCTAGAGGACATTAGAACAGCTTTGATGCAGAGGCTAGTGGTGAAGAGACAGACAATGATGAAAGCCACAAGCATGCTTTGTCCAAAAATTCAAGCAAAGTTGGATATTGAAAAGCAAAAGGCAGCTGAATGTGAGGTCATGCCATCATCTGAGACCTTATTCAATGTTACATACTACTTGGACCAGCTAGTGGTGAACTTGGAAACAAGGAGCTGCACTTGCAGGAAATGGGATATGCTTAGTCCCATGTTTCCATGCAGTGGCTTCTATTTATTACATAAGACAAGAAGCTGAGCAATATGTTGATCAATGCTACCACAAGGCAACCTACCTCAAAGCATATGCAGGTATAACACTAACTTTTCCTTGTATTTTCTATTTACTTTTGATCTTAGTCTTGTATTTATTATTTTGGGATGTGGTTGTATGGTGTAGGATCTATCCCCCTATGTGAAGGGGAAAGGCATTGGCCTAAGGTCTCCCTGCCAATTGACCCACCTCCAATTAAAATTGGACCTGGGAGACCTAGGAAGAACAGGATCAAGGATCCTTTTGAAAATCCCAAAAAGGTAGGAACCATCACCAAAAATGGGGTTGAAATGACTTGCTCCCTATGCCACACAAAGGTACATAATAAAAGGAAGTGTCCTGAGAAAGACACTAGGCAACCCCCTCCCCCACCTGCTAAGAAACCTAGAGGGAGGCCAAAGAATCATACTGTAGTTGCAGAAGCTACAACAACTGCTCAAGCTGCACCATCTACTGCCCACCACTCAATGACAGTACAACCTACTCAACTAGGTAGAGGTGGCAGGATGATTCACATGGGAAGGGGTTCAAGAGGTGGCAGGGCAGGCTCTAGCTCTGGTAGGGGAAGTGGTGATGCAAGTGGATCTGGTGTTGCAAGGGGAGCTACTGCAGCAAGGGGAAGGGGCAGAGGTAGAGGCAGGAACCAGCTACCTGTTGGTGTAGGTGTCTTGTTTGCACCTGATGGGTCAGCAATAACTTCAGTCGTTAGTGTATGAGATTGTAACTTTTTTTTTCCTAACACTAAAGCCCATTTTCTGATTTATTATGGTTTGCCCTGTTTGGAGACAACAAGGCAGCTGAGATCAACAAGGTCCAGGTCAGGGGCAACTGGAGAAGCTGCAAGGCCAGGGCACAGATCAGCTATGGCTTGGTTCCAGATGAGTCAGTCAAGCCAGACCTCAACCCTGCATCATCCTACTCAATAGTGGATGGATGTATCACTTAGGCATAGTTAGAAAACTCTGTTTTAATCAATCTTTTGGGTGACATTGTTGTGTTATCTTATAATTTGCAAACAATGTTTATGTGTAGTGTATTTTGTAAACAATGACTATCACTTGTAATATTTTGCACTATTATTGTCTTTTGGAAACAATGACTATGAATTGTAATATTTTTCACTAAGCAATTACTTATGGATTATGAATTGCAAATGATATTCACAACATTGTTTATTTATTCATTACTTGAGAATCATACATTAGATTGGTTAGGTGGCTAATGAACAACAACTAACATAACCCCTAAATAAAGCCACCTAAACCACCATCAGCACTACATAATCAAGTTCAAACTTTTAAATAAACTAGAAACATTGCAAAGAAAATCCAAGAAACAAAGAGTGCGAGTGAGAAATTTTTTTCATTCCTTGTAGCCTTCATTAGTTCAATTCTAGTGTGGGAGAGCTCCATTTTTGTATCATTCAACTCCTCTGTCTTCATGTCCAATTTCTTCTCCACAATCTTCAATTTCTCTTTCATGAAATCAACTTCCATCTCTTTCTCAGCAAGAGTAGTGTCTTTTTCAAATAGCTTAAATCGCAATTCAGCATCAACTCCATTCGATACATTAACCCACTGGAAAAACCCACAATCACCAACCTGCAAAAGTTAAACCCCCAATTCAATTGAAATTACAAACCCTAATTCATATAATTCCACACAATAATTGTATAGGAATGACAAATTCAACTCACAGGCCAATTAGGGCACCCAAAGAAATTCATCCCTGCATTATCACCACTTTTCGCCATTCGCACCACCGCAAATGCCCCACATCTGCACTTCACTCGTGAAGAAATTAACCCGCCACCCCTTGAAGAAGAAGATCCAGTTGACATTGTGCATAAATGGTGAAAATCGTCAATCTTTACAGAGAAAAGGGGAGTAAGAATGGAGAATGGGGTCTTTGTTTAGAAGAGAAAAGAGACAGGGGTCTTTGTTTAAGAGAGAGGAGGGAAAAGTCAACCCTTGTAACATGAAATAAAAAAAAAGAACCGTTGGAGATGTCACGTCAGCTATTTACAGGCTACAACAGGTTGCTTAACTTGTAGGGTGCAACGAAAATTAATACCCCCCAAAGTTGGGAGTGATAGATAATAAACGGAAGTTGGGATTAATTTCAGCGGATGAGGCAAAATTCAGATTAATGGGAGCAATTTTTCCTTTTTATTATTCTATAAAGAAGCCCCACCATAATATGTTTTGTATAATGATCAAACGTTGTGCATTTCAACGTCGCTCGATCTTTTATTGCTTCTGTTGTAATTTATCCAAAGGTAATCACACTATCAACTCTTAATTAGATCGTTTGTTTATAATTTGATTGTATTATTTATTGTAATCACACTATCGATCTTTTGGAGTTGCTTAATTATAATGTGATTGTATTAAATTATTAGAATTTTTTTTGGTTATAATTTGTTTATTAATTGTACTTTGTATTATTATGTGTGTAAATTTTATAATTGTAATTCGTGTGATCAAATTTGTATATGTATATGATTGACTATTGGTATTATATGATTTGATTGGATATGAGTATCGTATTACTTTTATTGTTTAGGATTGATTATTTCTAGGGTTTTTAATGTTGTTGTTATAGGGAGTATTGTTACATCGAGGTTTAGGGTTCCTAATGCAGATTATTATTTTTGGGTTGAGATTTGATTATATTTGGGTTATTAGTATTTTTTTTAAGAGTTAAGATATTGTGATCGAATTGTTATATTATTTGGGAACTTGTGCCACTGTGGAGTTATTATTATTAATTTGTGAATGGTTATTTGATCGATGTACGAGATCAAAAGGTTGAGAATTATTATTTTGTTCTTGGTTTGAGGCTCGTCGTTATATGATTTAGTCCTTAGCTTGTTGGTAAGAGGGTAATAATCATGAGTTAAGAATGAGGTACAATCTTTATTATTTATTTTCCTATGGTCCCCTACAGTGGGAATTGACCCGTATGTGGTATGCTTCAAGGTGTTTTCTAGTTATTGAGAGTATTCAAGTTTTTATACTTGTTGGTTTTATTCGAATTACCCATGTCCAAGGCTAAGTATAAAACAAAGAGCATGGCACACTTATGGGTTATATGAGTTAATCCATAACCCTTATAAAAGCCAAATTGGGTTGAGGAAGTTTTGCTTTGGAAAATCCTTATGAACAGTGCTAGGACGTTTTTGCCCCTGTCATAATTTTTTTTGTTCTTGCCAATGCCTCCCTTCCGTTTTTGCCCTTGTGATTTCTTAAGGCTTTTTTTCTTTCTCCTCCCTTTTCTATGATCTGGGTTTTAATTTCACTACTTTTTTTTCACCTTTTGCTGTTCGACCATGTTCAAAGCTAAGGTTTCACTTTTGTTTCCTCAAAACTCGAACTCCTACGCAAGTTGCCGGTCATGCTCAGAAATACTTTCCCCGACGAAATAGTCTCAATCGCCGCCGTCGTATATCTAACCTCTTCGATATCACCATCGATTCGGTATTATTTCTTGATTCCTTCAAAACATCATTCGATTTCCTCCATTAGAGCTGAGGTAAGTTGTTTCTTTTCTGTTTCTATCAATGATGAATTGTAATGGTTCCGATGATTGAATTTTGTTTATATATATGTAAATTTAAATTCTGAAGCATAAATTTGGGTTTTTGTATTTAAAGGAATCTTGAGGGTTCTTCCACTTTTTGAACCTCTTTTGATTTCTTGATTATACATTTTAAATTTTGATTTGAATTTCTTTAATTTAATTGATTTCTTATGGTCGTGGTCAGATGGCTTTTTGCTGCTGCTCATGGGACGACTCTGGATGTCTAACTTTTCTTATAATCCTGGAGTGATTCCTTATGGAAACCAACTGCTTGAAGAGGGAAAATTTGTGAGTCGTCAAGTAGTTTAGAACTATTTTATAAACATGTAGATTACCTAATTGATTTGATTAATTTTGTTTTAAGTTTCTCAAATTTAATTGGTTCATGGTTTCTGATGAGTTTTTTTTTTTTGATTTGCATCTTATGAGTAGCATTTCGGCCTTTTGTCTCTAAACACAGCTGCTGAGTATAGGTAGGCGGCTATTGATAATTTTTTGCTCTTTTGGTTACTGATAATTGGTATTAAAAGAGGTGTTATTGTTAAATGCCCTTTTTAGAATTTTGATGATATTTGCTTGAATTTTTATATGGGTTAGAGTTATATGAGTGTGTTTTGTGGGTTCTTGTTTTGTTTTTTTTTTTTTTTTTTTTTTTTTTTTGTTTTTTTTAATTGTTGGCCTCGATGCTACTGCTTGATTCTGTGGTGGCTATTACTAGGTTGCATCCGAATCGTCTGGTTGCTGCTCTGTATTAATCCGGCGGCTAATTATGGTTATTTATTGTTGTTGCTGTATGTTGTATATATATTATGTTTGTAGTGTTTGCCGCAATTTGAGAGTTGAATGCATGGAGTTTAGCTTAATTATTATGTAGCTACTCTTACTTAAGGCTGCTTTTCAAGAAAAAAAAAAAAAGTGTATCGTTTCTATTAGTTTTGTTATTAGACATTTAGGAGAGTAAATTATCCGAAATGATGCTCTGTCAGTGTGGGAAAGAGAACAAAATTACAGGTATTGGTGGTCATGTTTGATTGAAGTAGTCATTCTTTGGTTGAGCTCGATTTATTCATCTGATCACGTTGATGATTGATTCTTTCTTCGCTAAGAGGTTAAATTGTTAAAAGGCTCCAAATGATAACATTTCCTTAGATTTCTATTGCGTTCATTTCTTTGTTTTTGATCTTAAATACCCAGATGAAGGAACTGTGGTTTTTGTTTTATTATTGACTTATTGTATTGAACTATTGATTAAGCTAAGCCAATGTTAGTTAGTGAAGTTGGGAAAATTGATTTTGTTTCAAAATGTTAGACAACTTCTTGCTTAAAGTTTTCATCCATTCGGTTTATCCTCTGCAGAACGGTTGCTCTTGCTGGATCCATTTGATGAGTCTTTTCCCCAAATACATGATTCTATGTTTGTGATGTAAGCTTCCCACACTTTTTTTAACCCCTAATACGAATGTCCTGACTTTCCTCTAAGCTTGATTGTTGCATCAATTGAAGTAATGCATTATTTACTTATTTATTTATCTATTTTTAAACTGAATTACTGGAACCAGCAGGGAAACCATTAAAGGAATCAGCAGAACTGAAACCTGTGGCCAAGAAGCCTGCAGCTCAGGCCAAGGTTCCTTTTGAAAAAGGTTTTAGTCCAATGGATTGGGTCAAGCTTACTCGTACGCATCCTGACCTTGCAGGTTGGTTCATGTAGTATATTTTTGTTGAATTGTTGTGTCTGGATGAATTTGCTTGGGGGTGTTGGGAAGCCTGATAACAGACAGGAGACACCCCACCTCTAACTGTGCATGCAGGCCAAGAGTTAGATGAGCGACAATGATTTATCGCTACTACTGTCTTTTGTTGTATATAAGTGGTCATTAATTAATGCTCTTTAATGTCTTGTTCTTTTTTTCCCCAATTGTGTATGCAAGCCTAGAATTAGATGTCTGGCTATTTCATATGGCAACTCTTGCTTTTTGGTTATATTAAGTGATCAGGAATGCTCCTTAATGTTAATTTTTTGTAACTGTTAATATAGGATTGAATGGCCAGTCAAATAGGAGGCTTATACCTATGAGTGAAGTCAAACAACATCAATCAGAAGGCACCATGTGGACAGTTGTGCATGGACGTGTGTATAACATTTCTCCATACATGAAATTTCACCCTGGAGGTATGGACACTGTTTTTGCTGTTAGCTATGTACTTTATTTGTCTTCATTATTGTGCCCAGTTTTATCTATCTTCGTTACCATGCATATGCTATGTTCTGCCTGCTGTGAGCAATATCCTTGTTACCATCCAGAAGTTAATTTTATGTTCTGTCTGCTGACATGTTTGCAGTATATACCCTGCATTTTAAAATTTTCTTTAATGAAATGCACACTGCTTCTGCTGTTTAAGGAATTCAATAGGGGAAAAAAACAGGGTCCATTGTATTAAACAGTAGTCAGAAGATAAAAGAATGCCATCTATGGGAATTAGTATGGGATCAGGAAGAAGGGTACAGGCTGTCAAAACCTGGAATTTGATTTAATTTTTTTATTTTTATTTTTATTTTTTTTTTTAATATATATGCTTAGGTGCTGACTGCTGAGTCCTGTGGTGATTTTGGAAAGAATTTCTGCTGGGTTTTATGGTGTGTTAGAAAATTATAACCTTTGCATAAATGAAATAGCAGGAACAATTAGTGTGACTTTCATAATAAATAGGATTAAACAATGGCATAATAGACAAAGGAAGACCTTATTAGTACTCTCAACCATGAAGCCTTAGCTTCCACGTGTAGCAATGCCCCCATTTATATTGCAAAAATTTTCATGAAAACTAGATACAATGAGTGATCATAAGCTTTTATCTTTAGTTGGGCTATCATTTAGTTGGCCTTAACTTCCAGGTGTTCTGAGCAATGTCCCCATTCTTATTGCTTCAGCATGTCTATCAAGTGAACCACAATAAAGAAAGTTTCATGGGTAAGTATGATGATTATCTATAGTCTGAGCAGTACAAGTGTACAACCATACCCTGTGTCCCTATCACCGCTTATAGCCTTCATTCCTGTATTCACCAGAAATGAATGTGCTGGCCACTGGGTGTTGCCCGGTGGTTCTCAACTGTTCATATTTTTGTAAGGATATAAATAGCCTGAATGCATTCCCCACAAATGGTCCTTATCTGGCGAAATCTCTGGATATCATTATTTTGGCACGATGCTTTACTTTATCTAGGTTCCGTATTCCCATAGATCAAGTGTTAAATGAATTAGACTGAGTAGGTTAGAAGGCTTTCTCTTGAACCTAAAGAGGTTCGTCTTGCTTTAATGCTTTGTGGCTTTGTGCAATTGAGATGATGGTCAAGAGTGTATAGTGAGTATTATACCCAAGTACACGCCTTTTATAAATTGTTGAAGACCATTGCCAAGCAGCTAGGATAGTTGACTACTTATATAGATAAGACTTATCACAATTATGTCTTACTTGTATAGTTTCGTGGGGCCATATAATACATAGCACTCGGAGCATTACCCATCCAACATAGTCTATCTCCCTCCCTTACTCCCTTCTAAGTTATTATACTCCTGATGCATTTTAGATATTGATGAAGCTTTATCTTTATTTCTCCTTCAAACTGAGGAAAGCTCTTATCAATTAGTGCTACCCCACTCCCCAACACTAAAATAAATTTGAAGTGAAAATGATTGTTCCATCATAAAGTTATTTAGTAGTAAAATCTTAGATGACTATGTTGTCCCTTGAAAATTAGTGGCCAATGACACTGCTGTTGAAATGTTTGAAGTATATACAAAAATAACCTTTTATTTATATTTTATTTTTTTAAGATAAAGAAATAAATATTTTTGTAATTTTTCTCTTTAACTTGATGCATGGTTCAAGATTAATCTTTAAACCCTAGAAATAATTATAATGTATGTCCAATAGGAAAACAATTTAATTGAATTTGATTATTATATTGATTGGAGTGGAGAAGCAAACATATAGAAATTAAACTTTTTAAAAAAACCTTTCTCTCCAAAATTTCAAGTAATAAATTCAATGTTGAAATTAATCATCATAATTTAATTTGTAAGAGGATTAACATTAACAAATGGTATATAGTAGTTCAATGAATAATTAATGTATTAATATTAAGTCACCTGTGATAATTAAATAAATACAATTGCAATTCACCACCATTCAATTATATAATAAATCACTAGCTAGTACACACCGTTTTATTACGATGAAAAATATAGATGTGTCCGGTTGCATAAATAGGCTTTCGCGTAATTTTTTTGACACTTATAATGAGAAATCAATTGTAAAAGCTCTATCTACGTTCATGTATATTTGGTGGTGATGTCTTTAAAAAATGTACAGGAAGAAGCCCTAGAATAGAAGAGATGCCGGAGAGCGTACGGAGCAGTTTGGGACATAGCAAATCCACCAAGGGGTCCTCTAACAGTGAGGTTCTTCTTAGATGGAAGTGTAAGTAAGAGAGCTAGATGGGTTTTGATTCCTAAATTCATCCCTACTTATTGGCAAGCTGGTGTTGCTTATGATACTTCTATTCAACTTAAATAGATAATTAAGGGCTACTTTATTCATGTTTAATTAATTATATATATGCTGGATTCTTAATTAAGATCATGAATCATTGTATGATTTTGTGGAGCAATCCTACTTGATTAATTTTTTTTTTTGTTTTATTTTAAAAGCCACAATTGGCATCTTTAATGAGTGAGGGGTTTGTAATAGGGCTGAGCAAAACTACCCAAAAAACCGAAAACCCGAAAAACCGATTCGTAACCGTTTCCGAAAATTAGGGTACCCGATCCGATAACCATAACGGTTCGGGTACCCGTTCCGATAATTTGTTATCGGGTATGGTTATGGGTATCATTTTAAAATTAACGGTTACCCGATCCGATAAGCATTTTTTTTTTGCTTTAATTCCCTACTTAAATCTATTAATATAAATCTAAACTTTTACTTTACATCATAATCACTTTATAATATCAATGATTAGTAATATTATTAATAATTTGGTCAAAATCATATGGTATTGTTGTTAATTAGTTGTAAATTATATCATAATAACTACATAATTAAGTTTAATTATCATTATTGGATATCTTATTGGGTATCCGATAACCGATCCAAAAATCCGGGTACCCGAAATCCGAGTACCCGAACTTATCGGTTTCGGTTATGGGTATCATTTTTAGTGATTTTGGTTATTGGGTACCCGAACCCGTCCCATGCTCACCCCTAGTTAAGTAAAAGTTCGTATTATTATTTGAGGTTGAGTTGATAAAGGTTATTTTCAGAGTATAATGTGTAATGTAGTTTTGAACTACATTGTTTGATTGATCTAGTAATGTTAATTCTTATATTATTCTTTGTATTCTGATATGTGGTGATTACTCAACTTTTTTGCTGACATGTGTGTTATTTTGTTTTGCTACTTGTGTTTGCGGCCATGTCTTTTTCTTATGGTGGCCCTGCGATGATCTATTTTGGAATTTGTCCTTAATGGTGAGCAGTCAAGTTTGTATAAGCAGGTTTGATCAAGTGATCGTAGCTAAAGGGAGCTCAAGTGATCGATTAGTATGCTATAACGATTTGTAAAGTTTTAAATAACTCGCCTAGATTATTAAGTTGTATTTATTGGGATTTTTATAAGCCTTAACGCTCGACAGGTTGTTGAGTGTGGCAGTAATACCTCCGATTTAGAAGTATGCTTCCGCAATTTTATTTATAGGCTGTCTGTTTTTCCTTTATTTATTGTTTATTATATTAGTCAGTAAATCGGGGGTGTTACAAACCTTCACCTCGTGAACGGTTTACAAGTTCCTAAAACTTGTTGGCGACTCTTTTGCTCTATCTTCTTTCCCTTTGGACGCCACCGTACTTTAGTTTATGATCACAGTGGGGTTCAAGTTTGGGGTAATGCTTAAAATATTCCCTACAGTTTGGTTTTGAGGAGAAACATTTGGTGTCTACAGTTAGCATAATAATAATAATTAAGGAAGTTAAGAAAGGAATAAAGATAATACCTTGAGCTAGATGTAGCAATTTTTTGGATAACCCTTCTTAATTATCAAGGATGAAAAGAATATCACTCCTTAATTAAAGTGCAATAAAAGAGACTAAGTGATTTTTTTGGAGTTTTGAGATATTAAAGGAAATTAATGCAAAAATAAAGCTAAAGAACTTTTTTTTATTAGAGAAAATAAACTTGAAAAATAAAGCTAAATCTTGAGAAACAAAACCTTTTTTTTTTTTTTTTTTTTTTTGGTTTTTAATATAGACTAGGAATACTTAAGCAATTAAACAAATATTTTTTAACAAGGATAATAAAGAAAAAATAATGCTTGAACTTGAAATATTTTGTGTTTTTTTAAAGGAATTAAAGATGATAACAATACTTAAATAAAAATAACAATATCAACTTAATTATAAGATGCTTTTAATTAGCTAATAACTTAAAAAATAAAGCTAAATTAGGATTTAACTAAATTAAAGAAAAGAGGAGAAATTTTTAGAGAGAGAAATTGTAGGAAATTTTGGTGCAGGGCGTGTGTCTAAAACTTGAAAATTAGGGGGATATTTATAGGAAAATAAAGGGGTTAATTTGTAAATAAAAAAGTAAATAAATTAATATTCAAGGATTATTTTGGTAAATATCAAGATTTTGGTAATAATGAGAATCTTGATATTAAATCCTTTCGTTTTATATGTAACAAACTTACTTAGTCTGTTTTGCAACACTTAAACTGATAAAAAATAAAGAAAACCGTAATAAAATCAACTCTTATATTCACATAATAAAAAAGTTCTAAAATGTCATTGTATTACAAAAAAAGAAAATATATGACCAAGTCATATCACAACTCAGTAATACTCACATGGTACATGATAATAGAGTGCCTAAATTTATTTAGTGACTATTATACTCACCAAGGTACTAAAACAACACTTATAAAATAAATATCAGCTTTGAGATGTCAGCTCTGAAAGTTGCACAAAGACATTAAGTTACAATACTAATAGGGTTGGACAAAATATTTTAGAGTTTATATAAAAAAAAGTAAAAAAATAACCCCTGTCCTTATTAGATACTCCCTCCGTTTTTAAATACTTGCTCCATTTCTCTTGGACACGCATGCCGATGCTAATCTTTGGTCACTAATATCTTTAATTATCAATAAGTATAAATTCTAACAATTGAAAATTAATAATCTATTCATTGAGATGATTCCAACAAGTACCCACAAGACTATATTTTTTCTTATGTATAAGTCACAAATATTAATCAAAGTAGGACAAATGAATAGTGCTAAAAATAGAAATGGAGCAAGTATTTAAAAACGGAGGGAGTAGTACCTATAAATTTACCCAAGAACATCTAAACATACGACAAAACCTTATAAATACGAGCATTTCAAACAATAACCCTTACTAAAAGTATAAAGTAAGGTAAATCATATAAAATCATAAGATTGACATGGTCAAAGTGAAAATACACCATGTAAAATCATACAATTTTAAGTCATACGACATAAATTTAAGGTGGTCAAAAGTAAAATATATTCTCTTGACCGAATGACATTAAAAAAAAAAGGTGAACTCTTATCTTGCCTTACTCTACTAAAACACAAATTTATACTTATCATGGTCGTAAAAAAAAAATAGAAAAATACATAAAATAAAGATACAAAACTAGATCAAAACAACAGGAAAAATAAAATAGAAGACCAAATTCACGTCGGCAACGCAAATTAACGTAACGGAAAATACTATTTGAATAGTGCCAAATAGTGTTTGAATAGTGACAATGAAAAATGTGATGCGTATAAAATCCAACTGTCCCAATTAGCGTCAGATAAATATTGATGCAATTGGTCCAAATTGAAATTTACTGGATACTATATTAACCGCAGGGAATAAAAAAAAGTAACGTTAATTCACTACTGACGATTGTACATCAAAAATTGACAAAAGGACACAAAAACTAGACCGAAATAAGCAAGTTATACAAAATATATAAGATGAAAAAAAAAAGAAAAAGGAAGAAAAAAAAAAATGATTGAAAAGAAAGAAAAAGACAAAAGAATATAAGTTCCATAACCAGTATGATGTCGTGGTTAATGCCATGGATTGGTATGATGTGGTGGGGTTAATGGCATGGATTGGTATTCATGATCCGAAATATACGCTTCCGCATACAGTAAAACATATCCGAAAGCAAAATAATTGCTCCACTATATTTACTGAAATACAGGAAAAAATTGCCAAACTAAGCGTTTTTGAGAAATAATTTCCCAAACAAGACGCGTGGCAAAACTATTTACCAAACTAAGCTTCCAGAGTAAAACGCCAACCAGGATGGCGTTTTACCCTGGGCATTTATTTTTTTTTAATTTTTAGTCAAGGATAAAACGCCATCAAGGGTGGCGTTTTACTGCTGGGCAATTTTTTTTAAAAAAACACATTTACACAAAAACGCTAACGCCGTTGGCGTTTTACCCTGAGTGATTTTTTTGAAAATAATTTACCCCCCTAAAGCGCCACCATGGTTGGCGTTTTATCTCTGCACACAAACACAGCTACACAGCAACAGCAGCAACAACCACAGGAGCTGCAACAACAACAGCAACAACCACAGGAGCTGCAACAACAACAGCAGCAACAACCACAACAACTACAACAACAGCAACAGCGACAACCCCAACAAGAGCAACAGCGACAACCCCAACAAGAGCATCAACAACAATCACAACAACTACTACAACCTTAACAACAGGAACCACAACAATAACTGCAACAACATCAGCAACATTAACAACACCAGCAACAACAACAACACCAGCAACCAATACAATGAAAAGAATGAATGCGTATGGTGAAGTTGATAATGTACAGAAAATGAACTAAAAAGGTTAGTAAAATTGATAATATTTATTTGGATACAATGTACTATAGAATCTGATTACAACTAACAAAAGAAGTTCTAAGATCCCGATTCATCTATTGTATGTAAGTGTTGTCTATCCAATCGCGGTCTTCTACGACGGTAGTACTGAGATACCGTTGTGAAAGGATCTGGGGCAGCGGTCTGGGGAGGAGTCTGTTGGCTGGAAGATGGTCCTTCCTGAGATGAGTATGGCGCAGACATGTGGATGGCGATATCTTCCTGATCATCAAAAAACAGGGGGGACCCTGTAGGGGACGTGTGAGTCTGTCCCCTACTACTGCTGCCTACCTCACGGTGTGAACGGCGGTGTGATTGGTCCCGGCCCTGGGGGATAAGATGGCCATGACCATGTCTCTGTAAGCTACTCACAGTCATTGCGTGAATGTCATCCAACTGCAATATGGTGGGATATGATATGCTCAAGACTTCTAGTGCATCATGTATAGCAAGCATATCAGACGCCTGCATTAGTCAACAATCAACCATTTTAATAATTAAAGAAACTATAAATTGGAGGAAAAGAAAAATGACAAAAAACTCACATATCCACTGATGTCTCCAAAAGCTGGGTGGTAATGCGTTGAGGGTGGGGTGTAGTTAGGGTTGATGAAGCGTCGGGTAATGCTCCTGTACCATACCATGTATGGATCGTGATACTCCATCAGGCCTTGGACAGGCGCACCATCCGCGACGTGCTGCAGCCGCTGGTCCCACATGTCAATGTAAGGGGCATGCTGAACTGCCCAGTTAACCTCCCCCTTTCCTCGTCGGTCTGTCCTGTGCAACTGGACACTCGTGTCACACGGGGCGGGGATGGCTTGACAAAGGCCGAACTGTCGCATGACTCTGTCGGGGAGGTGAGCCTCCACCAACTCAAAACAGATGAGCACTGTCATGGCACGCCACTCCATCTGGTGATCAAGAAGATATTGGGGCATGGCATCGACTAAGTGAGGGACGTACGGATCCCACGTCATCTGCATTAACAAGCAGTCGTTAACATCATAATTAACTTATTAAAATAATGAACACGGTGTTAAATTAGTTTTTAAAGTGAACTATAACCCGAGACTCGCTCAGTCTGTCGAATGCATCTCTATAATACGACAGACCCCTTGCTGCATGCACACGAGTAAGTCTCCGCCCTAGCCACCTGATTACATGTATAATAACAGTGTTCATGACAAAATTAATAGAAAATTAAAACCATATGTGGATAACTTAACAATAAGTCATACATACCGGCAACCGTATGCTAAGTCCGGTGGTGGGTGTGGCGGCGCCTCATATGCATGCTCCTGATCGTCTTCCTCCTCCTCCTCGCGTCGACGCCTAGCAGGCATAGCTGGCCTACCAACGTGGATGTGCTCCCAAGCCCATAACTGTAATAAAAAAAAAACAAAAGTTTAGTCTAGCCAATGTTTAGTATGTAATAGGTAGAAAATGGTATGAAAGTACAAGACTACCTGAAGCACAATCAAGGGACCGCTGATCTCCCATCTACTACGCTGGGATGCTCTGCAAAGATGTTGATATAAGGTTGCCAGACACGCACTACCCCAGCTGTAGTCACGTATACCCTCCCAGTTGTTCTCTAACAGCTGTAGGTAGATCAACTGTATGTGACTACCACTCTTGTTACTGAATAATGATCCTATCAACATGAACAGGTACGCTCGAGCGTATCTTTGGACGACCCCATCATCAGCATCAGGAGGCAACACCCCAAATGTCTCTCGTAACCATATGTGTCTTAACCCTGTGCCTCTAACATCG